TTATAAAATATAAGATATCTATAATCGACTTTGAATTGATATTGTAACAACCTTTTAACCAGGATAAAATAATAATCTTTTATCAATTAGAAAATAAAGTAATTAAATTTTCTCTCTCTCTCAATTCCTCCTTCTTTCACTTAATTCTTTCTTAGATTAGTGTTTTATAAGTTGAAATTTATAAATTTATGAGGTTATTCTCTCATTTTTTTATTTTTTTCTTGGATTTTTTTATGTTTTTCCCTTACTTTTCCCTCTTTCTCTCTCACCTTTTTTTTTCTTTCTTTTCCTGTTATGCTTTTGCCCAATCAGTAATATATAAAAGGAAGGAAGAGTTGATTTGTTTTATTTTTAATAACAAATAACTATTTTACTCTTACTGAGTCATTTTGCTTTTATTTGATGGTTTTTTTTTTGTTAACACTATTAAGTTATTTGATGGTTTTTTTTTTGTTAACACTACCAAGTTCTGTTCATCCTAAAATTTTAACTAGATTTTATTCAATATATTTTAATATTTCTTATAAACTTTTAGCTTAATCTGATGGTCAGATTGAAAATTACATCTAGTAACATTAAACTGGTTAAATTGTGATTTTTCATCAAACTTATGAATTTCTCCAAAAATTCTGAAATTTTAACTTAAACTAAAGCATTATATTAAAAGACTCCATGTAAATTTTCAGAATTTTTTGATTACACAATTAAAATTTATAATTTTTTTATATAAAACTAGTAAAAAAACTATTGATAAAATCTTGACATGAACTATAATACACCCAAACCTTTAAGATGCCTCCGCCTTTCTATGTAATTGACCAACTATAAGGTGAGAAACCATGTTTTAATTCCTTAAATCAATACCAAATCTAGTTCAAATTCATGCCAATACACACCTCTCAAATCCTAGAAATTAGCTCTTTAAGTCCTATATTTTTAGCCCTTTTCATTCTAGATCACCACCCTCAACAATCCATAGATGATTATCTATAAATACCCTTTCATCCATGCCAACACAGAAAGGAAATGATACAGAGTGAGACATGCGAATACAAAGAGAAACGAGGAGAAAATTCTAAGGAAAATATGGAGAGAAAGGTGAGAAAAAAAAACATTCGATCAATAAAATTGGAAGAAATTTTAGTACGACTGTGGAGAAGTAAGAAGAAAAATATTTTCCTTAAAAATTGCTAGTTGTGAAAAATATCAGGAGACTATTACAACCTAATTTCCAAGTATGTTTTAATTTTATAATGATTATGTTATGATAATATTGCATATTGGTGTGCTTTTGATTACAATAAGAATAAGAATATTGTGAAGTTCTTAATGCACATTCATGATCCCTCCTTGTTGTGAACATAGTAATCAATGTTTTTCTATTATATGAATTGTTAGAATTCAATGTAACGAATAAAGTCAAAATTGAAAAACTAGAAGATGCAAAGTCTTGCTTGAAATTGGATCGTTGATATTATTTATCTCAATTTGATTTGCAATTTTAAGTGTCAATACTTTGAAATCTTTGGTCATTGTTAAATTCTAGTTTACTAACCTTAATTTTGTTTAATTACACTTAAATCATAGTGAGAACATGTTTTATACTGGTTATAAAATTTGTAATTTCTATTTATATATGTGTTAATTTCTATTTATGTATGTGTAGGTATTACAACCCCAAACTTATAATTCCAAACCCTTAACCTATAATCCTTAATCCAAATATCAAACTTATAATTCCAACACTCAAGCTCCCAATCCGATCATGAAAATCTTAATTCTAAAATCCAAATCTTAAGTCAGGAACACTTATTCTAAATACAAACTTTTAATCTCTAAACATTAAAAATATAAAAAATAAAAATAGATAAGATATTGTTAGGTTTAACTTGAAGTGTCGTGAATGGATATTGTGATTAACTCGAAGTAATCGAGATCAATCAAATATATCATTTATTTAATAACTTATAAAAAATTATATCACCCCAAATTGGATTGACTTTAGTCTTTATTAAATAAGGAACATTGCATAACAAAACTGAATTTTTTTAATACATATGCTTCTCGGTGGTGTATTTTAGTAAACACATGCATTTATTTGTTATTGCACAAAATCATTGGAGCATGCCTTTTCCTTTTTCTCTTTGGCATTGTTTAAAAGAACATGATCCAACCCGCTAAATTAGAGATATTGTTTTAATATGAATGCATAAAGGATATGGTTTTCTATTATCCCTAATTTATGAAAGTAAAAATCTTTTGAGGTTAAAATTCGTATAAACCTACTGCTACTTTATGATGAAATTTTAATTTTAACTATAAGAATAAAGGTGGTAGGATGAAAATCCCATTTTATCCAAAATTATCTCAAATCTATCTCTATTCAAAAACTTTCTTCGACAATGTCTCTCTTTTTAATTACCATATATGATTCAAATACCAGGTTATTCTAATAGAAATATTAAACTACAGTGATCAATTTAGTTTGACTGAAAACTCGACTCAAGGATGCTAGTATTTCGAGAACAGCAATCTCAATTAAAAAAAAATTAAGTTGTTCCATGAAAATAATTTTATATTAACTTGATTACACATTTCTAAATAAAAAAATTTTTAATTTAAAAGTTGCTGAGATCTATGCTGAATTTATTTTAAAAGAATGAAAATTATAAGATTCAAATTTATAAATTTTTTATTATCAATGACCGAATACTATGTAATAAATTATTTATAAATTATATTATTTTTATAAATTTTTTTATTATCAATGACCGAATACTATGTAATAAAATATTTTAATTTTAAAAATTATATTATTGAATAATATTTAAAAAATAATTTTATATTATAAAAAAATAGCATCGAATGAAGAATGGAATTTTGCTTCCCAGGTAAGAACTAAAGAAATTGGGTTCGTCTCGTCGAAATGTCCTCTTACTCAAAATAATTTATACCAATATATGAAAGTAAATTAGTTCTCTCGTGAAACCTTAATTAGTTATTCTTCTTTATTTTACCAACAACTTTTGACATTTTTTTTTGAATTTTGTAGATTTAATTTAAAGTTTATTTATTGATCATTAGAAGCCTTAATTTTTTAGCGAGACTCCCAACTATTAAAATTATTTAATTTCACATAAAATTCTTTTCTTAAATCAAGAGATATTATTTTCACTTAATCAAATCGAGACCGAATCTAAAAGGAAACCAATGAGTTCATGAAAAAAACCAAAATTAAAAGGGAAAAAGAATACATTGCTTAAGATACCGAGGGAAGAGTACTCACTTCTTAAAAAACTCCTACAATTTGTCTTTTATTGTACCATATGTATACGCTCCTACATATAAGTCAGATTAATTTTTATAATATAATAAAATATCTCAATATAGCTAATGTATTTTCCAATAGAAAAACAAATCATGCCAGGATTCATTCAATATAACTAATTAAATTTTATAGATTTAAATATAAATTTATCGACAATTAAAAGCATATTTTAATTGAAAATAAATCTCAAGGCATCCTTTCTTTTTAATATTAAGATGGAAATATATTGAATTAACTGGATCAATATGAATTAACTTATCAAATTTATAACCCGGATCATAAAATCAAGACAACCTCATAAAAAATAAAATAAAATAAAATATAAAATTCAATTCTCAATTAACACAATATTAAAAGTTAAAATTAAAAAAAAATTGATTAAAAAAATAACTTGAATCAATTTGCATTAATTTATCAAATCTACAACCTGGGTTATATGACTAAAATAATCTTATTAAAATAAATTATAAAATATAACTTTTAATTAACTTAATATTGAAGAGTGAATTAAGAAAAAAATTTAATTAAATATAAAAAAATAACATGAATTAACCTGAATTAATCTGTGTAATTTGTGGCTTGAATAACAAGATCATGATAACCTCATAGAAAATAAATTAGAAAAATTATTAATCTTAATTTCAAATCAATCATCTATTAAAAAATTAAAATTGGAGAAGAATTTAATAAAAAAATAAAATAAAAACTAAAATCAGCTAAACTAACAACTGAACGAAAACATCCGACATTAAAAAAAAATCAAATTAAAAAAAAAACATTATTTACTTAAATAGTATTTTATGACAAGAAAAACGTGAATTTTCCTCTCTATTAGCTGTGGTTAGCGGAGTATATCCGAAAGAATTCTTAATTTTACCGTGTAAGTTGACAGGTTGTTCCAGCTGGTCATGTATTTTTCATTAACTAGGATTTCATATATTATTTCATAATTAAATTCTTGGTCGTGTATTCAATGATCACATGGAAGGTTGATTTAATTTTGATAGATTAAATGATTTGATTAAAAAGTAATTCATGTTCTCAATGAATTGCAACTCAGTTCCCATTAATATCTCTCCTGCTTTAAAAAATGTAGAATTTAAACCTCTTTCATATTCATACCCAAGTAAAGTTGCCGTTTAGTCATGACAATATTATCTTGTGTTTTTCCATCAATATACAGCGCTCGTGTCCACTCCTGTCATCCTATAGCATCTCCTTCTTTGTCTTGAACGCGGCACGATAACACGTTGCCGACCCCATCATTTCTTTCTTGTTGCGGTGGTTGCACAAGCGAAACGAAAGGGCAGAGGGAGACCCACCCATCATCTTTTTCTCGTTGTGGTGGTTGCGCAAGTAGAAAGAGAGACAGAGAGAAGAGAGAGATTGTTCAAGAGAGGTGCTTTTCTATGGAGATTTTAAGGTCGAGTGTCATAGTTGCGATGGGGGCGTGCCCCCTGTAGTCGAGTTGCCAGCAGCAACGTCCATGTGGGACCTAAATCCGATACCCTACTCATGGACCCACTTTGAATTTCCAAAAAAAAATCCCGGCCCCTTTCCAGATCGAGGTAGGTGGGTCGCTCTTCTCGGACGCATAGTGGACTGAACCCCACTTGAAGACCATTGCTCTAGTCACCCTGAAAACAGAAATTAATTTTCTCGTGTATCTTTGGCCGTTTATGTCCTGCCGCACATATATAAAGTCCTCCATAGGTGCCCATTTTGATACACCACCATTATTGCAGTTACTCCACCACTATCTCTTTTCCTAAGTATATTTTTTCCTAATCCACTCTCCCTTGCGAATGACAGAAAACATGAGTATATCTGTTAATGGTCAATCCCAGGTCCCTCCTGGATTTCGATTTCACCCCACAGAAGAAGAGCTTTTGCATTTCTACTTGAGGAAGAAGGTCTCGTTTGAGAGGATTGACTTAGACGTGATCCGGGATGTTGATCTTAATAAGCTTGAACCGTGGGATATACAAGGTGCTTAATTATATCTAGTGTGTGCTTCTATAGTATTCCTTATGATTTCTTTCTACTTAAATCGTTAAAGAAATCTTAATTATAACTTTATCCTCTTCAAGTTCCATGTATATATTCTTACATCCTCTTCAAATTAATGATATTTGATGTGTTCCGAAGTGATGTTAATGTGGATTCGATCGGTTTCTTGCAGAGAGATGCAAAATAGGAACCACCCCACAAAATGATTGGTACTTCTTTAGCCACAAGGACAAGAAATATCCAACTGGTACGCGCACCAATCGGGCAACTGCTGCTGGGTTTTGGAAGGCTACTGGCCGTGACAAGGTGATATACAGCACTGGCAAGCGGATTGGAATGAGAAAGACTCTAGTCTTCTACAAAGGCCGAGCCCCACATGGACAAAAATCCGATTGGATTATGCATGAATATAGGCTGGACGATAGCACCAGTGATACCAGTGTAATTAAGCAGGTTTAACCTTGATATCTAGTAATACTGGTTTTGTAGTCAAGTTGTTAATAGCGAGTCATTGATCATGTTTGCATTATATTTGTGATCATAATTTTTTCTTATGTCTAGGTCTCCAATGTTATGGAAGAGGAGGCGGCACAGGAAGAGGGATGGGTGGTTTGCCGTATCTTCAAGAAGAAAAACCTCAACAAAACCCTGGACACACCTTTTAGTTCATCACCCATCAGTGCAGATACAAGGAACCAGATGTTAAGTTCCTGCGATGAAGACACTATAGATCAGACATTTCATTATATGGGAAGGACTTGCAAAGAAGAAAATGTAGCAGACAATAGTGCTAGATATCTCAACTATGTCCACCATGATGGATTCATGAAGCTTCCAAGCCTAGAGAGTCCAAACTCTATCAGTAGCCAAAATTGCTACCAACCCATGATCACAGAGAGTGAAGGTTCAATAACTAACCAGATGAGTTGCCCCTTGGACCCTGGCCTTGACAACTGGGCAACCCTTGATCGTCTATTTGCTTATCAGCTTAATGGCCAGACTGAAACCTCTAGGCAATTATCCTGCTTCCCCATTGACCCAACCATGACTTATTGCACCCCTACTGATCTTCATCATGATCTCCGATTGCCAAACTTACGATCATCATTTCCGTTACCATCAAACAGATCTTATCATGGAACTCAAGATTATAACAACGAGATAGACCTCTGGAATTTTACCACTAGATCTTCCCCCGACACACTATGCCACTTGTCAAACACAGGTGCATAACAGAATTACCCTACAAATAATCATTCTGTAGTTCTTAAAAGTCAGAATAGTTTTATGATGACAGCAGTTTTATGTGTATGGTAATAATGCAAGTAATGTATAGCATGTAGTAATATTAATAAATAAATAAAAGTGAAGGGTTCTTGGATGCGATGACACTGTCAACCATTATCTTTACTTAATCAAGATGTCTACCATTTTTTAATTTGTTTTTCTAGAAACCTGGCTAGCCTACTGTGACAGTGGTATGATAATACCTTTCTAACTGCATTAATAATTCTACCTTTTTATTCTTCTATAACATGATCAAGATTTTATCCCAAAAAGAAAAAAACAAATGATCAAGATGGTCATGTGGGTAATTATCTTTGAGTTGAGTCACATGGTTTGTCGGTTTGTTTGAGGTGCAGCTTAAGGGCTTATTCGGTCCATGTAATATCATGAAAAAAAGGTAGTAGGACATAGCCGTTGCGCCAACCAAGGGCTACCCCGATTGATTTTGGAGAGATTCTTTCTAATCGCTGCTTTTAAAGGCAATCCATCAAGTCAAAGAAACGTGATTTTTTTATCTGTATCTCGTGATCAGGAGAGAAAAGTGGAAGTGTTAGTATTTTTTTTTGCCATTCAGCATAACACAGATCATTGAGAGATAGGTATGCATGAATAGTAATAGATGGTAACCATATCGCACCATCTTTTGTATTTATTTATGTACTTGGGGTTATGTACAATAAAGTTAATAATAATAAAATATACTACGACATGATAACAAAGCTAAGTAACCTTATATATTTTTTTAATCTGATATAAACTTGTTGATTCTCTAGCTATATATATTTTTTTGATCTGATATATATTCACATATATTTGATAAGAAGAAGCTACATAACCTTGTATACATATAAGGTAGTTCTCATAAGAGATTCTCTTTCCATAACATGTTCTCTTGAACCGAAGATGAAGATTTGGATCAAATATGAGCTAATGAAACGTGAGGTAGAGATTTAGCAATAACATCATCTAGTAGGTCCTTAAAAGAGATGAAATGAACTTGAATTTTCAGTTTGACAACTCCATTATTAATAAAATGGTATTTAACCTTAACATATTTAATATAAACATTAAAAATTATATTAATAGATAAAAAGGTAACCTTTAAATTATTACATCATAATATAGTCAAAGACAAAAAAAGAAGTTGAAATTCTGATAACTAAGAGCAAAATCCATATAATTTTTATTTTTTATATAAAAACTTAATTATTCAAAAAATACCCTAATGAGAACAAGTGAAATACACCAGGCATGTGATTCTAAGACATGCCACCAACCACCAAAGCTCATATCTATTTTTCTAGCAAAGCCATCTCAAAACTCATTTTACTTGTGTAAGGCCTTAAGGGCTCATCATTCAATGCATATCACACAAGTACTTCAAGTATGATCTCTATAAGTTCAAAGACAACATCAAGTAGTTGGATTCATAAGGACAATTATTATTATCATCATTACTCCTTCTCAAAGTCTTCCTCATATCGTCTTAAACAAAAAAAATCCTAAAAAAAGTGAAATTCATGGTTATACAGGCTTTAGAAAGTGTAGAAATCCACTAGGTGGGTAGCTGTTCATTGCTTAAACATGAATTAGACATTTATCTCTCTAAAGACTTTATTGTCATAAAAATAAACTTATATAATTATGATGGGTTTATAAATCTATAAGAGCATAGGAAAATTATATGTAGTCACTTAGAGTTTCATATATAAGGGACTTGTATAAGATCCTCTTGATTATGTTCTGTAAACTCACCTAGGCATAATATTATATAACCTGGAGCTTGACTCCATTATTGATTTTAATGATCTTTATACAAATCTTGTTTCTCATTTTAGCATAAATATTCTTACTAAGAAGAGCTTTTTTGATATCTTTTTTATCACCAACTGGAAGGTCACTAGAACATACTTATAAAGATTTAACAAATAGATGCTCATACTAGAAGGATTGCTTAACCAATTTTACAGAGGTCTTCCCTGCTTAATAGAAATAACGTTATGCCTTTCTAGATTGAACTCTCTTTAAGGTCAAGCTCGTCATGAAAAATCACATTCACTTAAAGAAATCGAGCATGCTAGTATTACTCTAAGATCTAAAAGCATAATAAAAAAATAAAAAATCTTTAAGTGTAAGCATGACCAGTCTTTTATTAGACCTTAAAGGCCTAAAAACATCCCACAATAGTCACTTCATAATTTTCTTATCTTTTCAAAACTCATTACTACACTTTTGACCACTATCAAAACCATGATATTTGTGATCAATTGAAAAAAAATTATGTGGTATCCTTATTTTATAAAAGACGACACACAAACATGAAACTCCAACAAGTACTACTTATTTTAAAAAGTAAAAAAAAAAAGACATTAAAGATAGTTATGCTCTTAGAAAAAAGATAGAGAAACTAATCATCAAGGATTATCCCCAACAATTCATGAAAAAAAAGCTCCCAACAAAGAGGGAAAATCAAGTACATCCCATAAAATATTTTTTTTAATTAATAAGATTATGAGAATACTCTCAATAAATAGAGATTCTAACTGAGAAAGGAAAACATACAAGAAGCATGTATTTATCACCTTGAATTTTAAAACACATGGCATGAATCAATAATCTTTAATCTCGTGGATGGAAACGGTGTAGCCTTTTCCAATAAGAAAGTACTAGTAATTATCACCATCCTTTTTAGCCACAAGGTGTATAAAGTTTTTGTGGATGATAGGGGTGTAGTAAATATCCTCTCCTATAAGGTTCTTACACAGATAAGGATGGATTCCTTTAGAATGACTCCGATCAGAACTCTATTGATTAGGATAGGAAGTAATAGCATACTAGTAACAAATATCATTAAACTATCAATCATCATTAACACCTATCTCAAGTCATACACAATAGACTTTTATGATGATAAAAACATACTATATAAACTTAAAAAGAATTATAAGTAACAAGAAAAATGACTTCATCCATATATAAATAGCACCACCTTAGATATGACCATTTAGGCTGATGTTAAGAGGTACCTTTTTGTAATTAAAATCTTAAACTTTAAAAACATATCCAAGTATGAGTTCTCTTCTATATACATACCATAAGCCACTCAGTATCATCAAATATAGATTTCTTTATCTCTATTAAGGTTTAAATCACTTGTAAAACCTAATGATTTTTCTAAATGTAAGGACTTTCGATCCTATGTTAAAATACACATAAACAGTTTGGACCCTGAATTTAAAATATTATGACATTTATAAGATTTTTCCATCTTAAACATAAATTTCATTAAAAAAAATAAACATAAGTCATAAAGCCCAATTTGATCAAATATTCAGCATAGGCACCAAACAAACCCCACAAGACTGGGAACCCTACCAGAAAATTATAGATTATCTATAGAGTACATTTGTATTATGTACATTTTAAAAAACATACATAATCTTTTATACATTTGTACATTTTAAAAATAAGAAATAATTACAAATTTTAAAAATAAGAAATAATAAAGAACAATACAATTAAAACCAAATTAAATTAATAAAAGAGTATATTTGTATTATTAATTTTAAAAATATTTTAAATATAATTTATTTATATAGTGGACAAAAACTGAAGAAGATGAAGGGTGATCTTCATCAAAATCAGGATGATGTCAACAGGGAGTATAGGTATCAATGAGAGTTGTCAATAGCTATTCCATAACATTCAATTTATCCCTTAGTGGGGTAGTCCCAGTTTAACTCACCAGAGAGTTCAATCGTCTTAGTTTAAACTTGTTCTTGTATAATCATCTAGATGGTCAATGATTAGTAGCACAAAAATATATCAAAATAATTTTAATAATAATTGATTTTTAAAATGCTTTTTATTTGAAAATAAATCAAAATTATTTTATTTTATTTTAAAAAAATTATTTTTAATATTAGTAAATCAAAATGATGTAAAAATATAAAAAATAATTTTAAATAAAAAAAATCAAATATTTATAAAAAAAACTATTTGCATCCTACTCCGTAGCCTTAGCCTTATCGTACTGCTTGTGATCCTCAGTCAAATACTCACCATGATCAACTAAAAACGACTTTGAAGGCTTATATTTATATTTATACGATGAAGGTTAAAATTGATCCATTCTCCATTTAAAAAAAGCGAAAAACGGTGTTCCTGTGATTTTCGCTTTCCTTCTCTAGTTCTCCAACCAGCTCCCTCTCCCTGTGAGCAAAGATGACTTATTTGAACATTTGGCTTTTTATATAGAAGACTGAAATTAACATTCTTAAATTAAAGGTTCAATAAACGATGTCATTTCGATGCACTTGCTGTGCATAAACAGTAAAAAAACCTCTTTAATTTTTGTTTTTTACAACTAGATATACTACTTGATATCCCATGTCAGCAATAATGCAGCTGTTGCTGACAATTAACGAGGTGTGAATTTGGATACTGAGAGCTGACGATAATGGTTCCCTGATATCATATTAAAATAAAACGAGATTGGTACCAAGGGAAGACAGGCTGGAGAAAAACTCCATGTCATGTAACACGATAATTAGCCGGCTCTTGATCAACGGAATAATTGAGTATCTTTTTCGTGACAAGATTATAGAATGATAAGTTAAATGTAGGACCATTTCAACATAGAAATTCGTGAAATTCTCTTTACATTAATGAAATCTCAACCCTTTCACCAAAATAATAATAATAATAATAATAATTAATTAGTCGACGGACACCAAGCCCCCTCCTAGCTTTAAGAGGGGAAAAAAAACTTTCTATAACAAATACGTGTTGTAACATCTCGTTTCTGCCCTGAGGAGATGCCTGCCGATGCTCCGACGACGAGGTAGAGAAGCGCAATAAATCAACATATACTCCGAGTAGCAGCTGCTTAATGTTCATGCGGAGAGATGATCAGATGGGTATCTATCTTCCCTGCTAACTTTAGCAAGAAGAGCTCTCACCAAAAACAAGAAGCCAACACATCTAGTTGCGTAAGACATGATCTCATTGCTGAATGTTAACTATAAACACACACTTGTGCACAATTTTCTTTCGTCTTTTTACTCTTTACAGAAGTCAACCCCGGATTATAATTGATA